TATATATATATATATATATACATATAATGGAGAAATCATCATAATTTTGTCATATATTTCTATAAAATTTGTATGCATTATCATAATCTTTGATATCATGCATAATTTTTGATATTGTTTGATATTCTGAAGTTTTTTTTGGCTATATTCTGTATGTTAAAATTTATCATCAAATTTATCATTCAAATTTAATTCAAATCATCATTAAAATTTAATTAAAATTTTTTCATTGTTAGAACAAGAATATAAGTGATGCAAATTTTCCGGAGAAATCTGTGGAACTTGCACAAAATTATTGTAGAAATCCTACCCGAGATCGAAGAGGTCCTTGGTGTTACACGTTAGATTCTACAGTAATTGATGAAGGATGCGATATTCCTCTTTGTGATTATAAAGGTAAATATTACTGACTTAGTATAAAATATAATATGTTTTATACATGTATATATAATAAGTTTTAATCAATGAATATAATATATAATCGTGTCAATACGTAAACAACAAACTCGAATAGAAGTTAATAGATTAACTAATAATAATAGATAACATTTGCATTAAAAATAGTTTTACTGCAAACATAATGTGATAGCATGTTGATGACAAAAAATATCGTGTTTAATTTCTATAATCAATTTGTGTTAAACTATGTTTAAATCTTAATTTTTTTGTTTTTAATTCGCAATTATATTTTATTGCTGATATTTGTTTTTAATTCGCAATTATATTTTATTGCTGATTTTATTGCTTGACTTTTTTATAATATGACGTATAGAATGTCTAAATTATTAACACAATGATCATGAGTAAGTAAAGTAGATTAACTAAATAAAAAAGTTCTACATAATTTGGTGACTGTATTGTAATAGTTAACAAAATCTAATTCATAATTATTACAAATTAATCTTCGACTAAATATAAAAATTCATATCTTTTTATCTAATAGTATCACATGTTAAATTAATAGGAGTTGAAACAATTTTTTTTCGTTTCTACAGAATGTCGAATGGCTGGAACTGCTAATGACTATATAGGTACATTATCAACAACTCGTTCAGGTCGAACTTGTGCGAAATGGTTGAATAATTATAATTTCGAACAGATACAAAGATCGAACGCATCATTGAAAACAAAACCTTCTTCTAGATTTTTAAGATTGATTCGCACAAAATCTTTCTCGAAACGCCATTTGATGACAAAACAAAATTTGACATCATCACAATTATTTATGAAACCACCATCATTAAATTTATCTCAATCAGGATTTAAAATTGACAAACATATCAATTTTGTTGACCAAACATATTTGAATGACAGTCTTTATCCTGAACTTAGTGTACGAGATGCTAATAATTATTGCAGAAATCCTTCGCGCAATATTGCTGGCACATGGTGTTATACAACGGATCCATTGGTACCACAAGATTTGTGTAATATAAGAGATTGTGAAAAGTCGGGTAAAGTTTCAATTAAATTGTTAATAACAATAAAATATTATTTATTTTTAAATCGACAGATATTCAAGGAAAATTCAATATTTTCTTCCATATTTTTAAAATGTCTAACTTTCTTTTTTGAAACATTCTATATTCATTATTATGCCACCTCGAGAAAAAATGTTATAT